ATCTTTGATGTTGTTAAGACAATTTGACTTTTTGTTCTCACTCATAAACCTTGTTCTCCCAGTTTAGTAGGTAGGTTATGCATTATTTACCTCTGTCCATCTTGCCTTCAATATTACTTGTGAGGGTCAAATTTTCCAAACCTTATGTCTTAATTATGTGGCTTAGTTTCAACTGTCACTTTCTGATATTTACCTAAATGTCCCTTTTGTTTGCATTTTCACTAAAACCTCGTCGTTGAATAAAACTTCGGTTCGTAGAATCCTCTGCATCCTTATGTAAAGCATTATTTTTATTGCTTGAAGACTCTTCTTCATCTTTGAGAAGATTGTTAAGTATTCTCTTCTGTTTCATTGAACTGATATTACGTAACAGATAATCACTCTTTTTTAATGCCAAAAGAAAATTTCTTGACTCAGTACTTTCGGAATTCTACTTTTGTTATTCCAATCCTCTTCCAGATTTCGCTGTTGCATATTCCGTCCTGTTTTAAAACTCTGCCAAGATATTTAAATTGTTGTACAGGCCCAATTTTAGTGTCTCACTTGATGAAAGCAATAAACAATATCAAATTGATTCGCTTTTGTATCGATTTTTCTAATACAAAGAACACCAGACGGAACTGTATTAAAAAAAAAGTAATTTGGTGTTACGCAGTATGTAGGTGAGTGAAGTTCTAAGTAAATGTAACGAGAATTAGTATAACAATTAAATAAACGTTACACTTCTGTCATAAAACACCTTCATCCTCGAAAAATGTGAAAGGTGTCAAAATTTTTCAAAACTCCATGATCTAATGCTTTTCAGGTTTATCAAAGACTTTCCCGCTGCTAGATATTGCAGATCAGACTTCCTAAACAAACATTCCTGTGTAGAATTGTAATCAGTAATGAAAGATCGATTATCTATAAGCATATCCAACGAAAACAACACTGATTAGCACCCATGGAAAACAAACATCGCTTCCCGCAATGTTAATCTAAAATTGAAAAGAATTATTGTCGTCACTTAGATGATCTTACAAAACAATTGCAGGATAAATAATCCGTATTAATGCACGACCACACATTACCCGACACGTTTGCCATTTTTAACAGTCCTTCATTTTTCAATGATTTGTTTCTGATTATTACATCCTTTTAAGCGTGAAATATATTCATAAATTGTGAAATATTCAAAACTGACATTGAGTTCTCGTCGTATCGAAACCTTAAAAATCTTACACACTTGGGATCAATATTTCGTCATATATATGGCTTTATCTTATCGATAATGAGGGGACATATTATCTTGATTACATATATCAAATAAGACCAGAGAAACAATTTATTTTTTATTATCAAATTCGACAGATTTGACTTTGCTTCAAAACTAATAGAATATTAATGGTCATCTATTAAAAGTAAATATTTAAAATTATATTGTCTATGGTTAAATAAACAAAATATATCTCTGATGAAAATCTTTTTAATATATTCATAAAAGATAATTTTTTTGCGCATTGAGTTCGAAATGAAGACGAAGAAACTGAAATGCAGTTAAGATGATTAAAATATGTTGTATAATTATAATAGTTTGCGAAAATATTACATAAATATGAAAATATCAACATTGGTTGTTTAATTCACATTTTTAGGCGAAATATCTTCATGCTTATTGTAATACAATACAGTTTATATGGAACTATTAATGTCAGTCATAAAATAGACACAATGGCTAAATTATATGTATCCGTTACATAGCATAAAACGCTTCAAAATATTCCACAACGTTAGTTAAACAAAGTAACAAAAACCTGATAATAATAAAAAATTGGGACATATCAGTAGGCAAAGGAGCTTATTAAGAACAGACATTGAAAGAACAGATAAGGATTATATCAAGATGGGAATTAATATACGTTTGTTTAGAAAATCAGTCTTTCAGATAAAATGATTGCCTGCAGTGATTTACCTAAAATATCAAGTTTATATACGGATTTATTTAACAAAAAAGGAAATTTGGCATCAAATTAGAAAGAAATTCGACCAGTGCATAACCCTTACGCAGATGCATATGCACACACACACACACACACACACACACACACACACACACACACACATATATATATATATATATATATATATATAGACACACACATGGTGTGTGTTTGTCATATATATATATATATATATATATATATATATATGTCTATATATATATATATATATATATATATATATATATATATATATATATATATATATATATATATATATATATATTTATATATATATATTTATATATATATATATATGTATGAGCATATATATATTTATATATATATATATATATATATATATATATATATATATATATATATATATATATATATATATATATATATATATAGCGTAATTTTCCTTGGGTACAGAACTTTCTTATGGAAATAAAAGGTAATACCAGTTTTACTCATTATTATAGAAATTAAAAAAAAAAACAGCCAATGACCGGTCTTGCCCACACTAAAAAGAACCGGCATCAAAGGTATATATATTACAGTATAAAATATGAAAACGTATATAATGTGCAGTATTAAAGGCGGAGCAATCTGGATTGGAATAACGAGAATTCCTCATACACACTCACTACACTCACTACACACACACACACACACATATATATATATATATTCATATATATATATATATATATATATATATATATATATTCATATATATATATATATATATATATATATATATATATATATATATATATATATATATATATATGTCCATCGTCTTTTTCATGTTTAATTGAATAGGTTCTAATGTTAATTATGTTTTTATGAATATGTTTTTGAAGATGGTCTATTAGACCGAAACGTCTGACGTTGATATTATATTAACATTAAATCAGCATAATTGCATATTAAATTTTTGTTTCTTTTTTTTCCGTATATTTTTGTTCATATATATATATATATATATATATATATATATATATATATATATATATATATATATATATATATATATATATATATATATATATATATATATATAGCTAGGTTGATGTGAGTTCGTGATCCTTAGCTTTAGAAATGCATCTTTGTCCATCGCAATACGTCTGCGAATCTTACTTTATGTCCACTGTTAAAGTACGTTAATAAAATGCTTTCCCATTTAATAATATAATCTATAAGACATAAATGTTTCTTCAGCTTATGCATTTAACTGATTGGGGTAATTCTGTCCCTAGGACAGGCAATGAAATCCGCATATTCTGGTTAAGCGCATAATGCGGGAGCTATAAACTCATGCCCAATAGCATCATGTATGAACAAGCAATTTTTGGGAACAGTGGCCGGATTGAAATTTCGTAACACGGTCCTAAATACAAATAAATGAATAATGCCATAGTGTGAAACGACTGAAGATTTGTGCCTAAAAGGCAACATAATGAGTTCAGTTTGAATTAATCACCATATCAAAAGGAAGATCCTACCCATGCTGCCATCATATGATTATTAATATTCTCTTGATCTATTTAGTCAATATATATGTATGTATATATATATATATATATATATATATATATATATATATATATATATATATATATATATTTATATATTATATGCGCGCTACTTATTAGAAAGCGTTCAATATCAGAGATAGAGCTAACATATTTGGTTGGATAGATGTAAGTTTGTGACCCTGGGTTTCACGCTTTAGCGATCGTCAGGGTTTGTCTGACGATCTGAAACCCAGGGTCACAAACTCACATCTATCCAAAAATATATATATATATATATATATATATATATATATATATATATATATATTTATGTATATGTACAGCATCGTTTCTCGTATTCACTAAAAATGATCCATGGTAATTATTTCAACTTCTTTTATCATTTCATACCGGGCATGACAATAAATCTTCTAAGATTACTGCTTACTGCTTACTATGAGAAAAAGAAAATATTATTAAAGAGATAGAACCACGATTGACATTGCATGTACATTTTCGCAGATCAAAATTGACTAGACATTAAGAAGCCGTAAGAATTTTCAGCTAACGAAAAATGAGAGAGACAAAAAACTTTTAACATAGAACTTACAGGTACATCAAGCTATTTCATTTTCAATAGTCAAATTACGAAACCTTTCTGCCAATCTAGCACAGCGCTTAAATTCTTAAATAGGTACCAAATCTGCATGCGCCTCAACACAAGTACTATGAATCCATTTAAAAAAAGACACAGGGAAGCTAAGTTACGCCGCTGGGAAAGTGAGTGAAGCTAAGATATCAGTCGGGGACAAATAATATTGTAGATTCTTCTTTGTATGTCATCAGGGATCTTAGAATGCGTTTTATACACATGAGAAAAGAGGCGACAATATTATACAATGCATTTGCGAAAGGGAAATGTATGAATGCCCAAGACATGTTCTGTCAGAAAAAATATTGTCTAGCAAGAAACAGTGAAACAAGCGTATGAGCAGCAAACCTAGCAACTGATTCAATATAAACTTTCCAAAGCGTTACCCGGAGAAAGCGCCAAATATTGCTTTCTTGGAAGTTAACATCAGCATTGATTTCTGAACATCACCATCACAATACGTTTGCTGCGCAACTGGTCACCTGACCAGATTCTGTCATATGTCACCGTTGTGAGGCAATGTCTCCGTGAATGATCAGTCTAGTTTTCAGCTTATTTCATCGACACTGGCCCTTCGTATTTTCTTATATAATGTGGAGAAATTTAGGATATGAATACACGAATGTTTGGTCTTGAAAACCTGTCCAGTCTTCTAGTAGGTCTTTTTACTCTTTAACACTTCATCGGTTTAATGTGGTCTACGTGGGATATCGGAAGGTTAGTTAATTCTTTCTGTGGATTTTTGCTTCGGTTATGCCGTTATTGTCCCAGATTCACAGGTTAACAGAAAGATGAAGAAATCCAATAAATGCAAAGGCCTGATATTGATTCTTAAGTTTGTTACAGATATTATTCGTGCAGATTATTGGATGAATTGTTGCTTCTTAAATATTCCTTTTATCTATCTATCTATCTATCTATCTATCTATCTAGCTATCTATCTAGCTATCTATCTATAAGTTTATCTATCTATACACACAGACAGATATATATATATATATATATATATATATATATATATATATATATATATATATATATATATATATATGTGTGTGTGTGTGTGTGTGTGTGTGTGTATGTGTATGTATTTAAATAAAAGAAACAACAGTAGGGATATATAATCCGTGTTCTTATAGATATTTTTTATTTTTACAGAATAGTGCTCAATGTAAATTTATAGAGCATTAATATTAATAATTAATTGATTTAAAATATGTTTTTCCGCTATACATTTTGAACCATATGTCAAAACATAATTAAATTCGTGGCTTTTAGCTTCCATTTTTGAAACATGGTTAGAACTGTGTAGCGGAAAAATATTTTAAATCAATTAATTTATAATATATATATATATATATATATATATATATATATATATATATATATATATATATATATATATATAAATGCATTCCCGGTAAACATAGGCCTAGCACAACAAATGGTTTTACCTGTTTTCATGCAATCATCATGTAGAAGACGATTGCATGCAGTGTCGGCTACTGGTTCCAGGATTTTTTGGGGAATATATAACTCTAATGTTTAATATAGCACAGATCTCACTTCCTTCGTAATGCCTGTGCATTATATTCACTAAATCATATTCACTAAATCACTATTTAAATTATTACAATAATATTATCTCTATCTAGTGTGTGTGCGTGTGTGTGATCGGATGTTTATTATGCGTTTCCACAGTTTTCATCCGAACGCTTCTGCGCGCGAGGCTGATAAATAATGATCAAAGGACTCAACGATTGAGGGTAAACGCCTCTTCAACTGCATTAGCGCGTGATGCTGAAGCAAGATTGAGAACGCAAAAACAGCCCTTTACAAGGTCACACACCATTAAAAATGTTACCCCCTCTATTTGTGGATGTGCATTAGTTGAACTCAATTGTTGTTACTAATATTGATTTTCGAGTTTAAAATGGAAGACTTATCTCGATAATGATGTTTTAAAATTAAAAAGAAGCGTCTATACAACCCCGGCTATCTATTAAAAATCAAATTTGAAGTTTCACATACTTTATGTCGGATTAAAATAAAATCCACATTTCTTATATATATATATATATATATATATATTGAACAATAAAAAAAAAATTAAAACCATCAAACACACTAGGTGGTATATTAATATTCTTTCCTTATCTTTCCTCGACTAGTTTCAGTCAACTTGGCCATCATCGGGAGAAAAATCTGCTTGCTGGTAGCAGTGAACTACAGAAACTTCTTGGAGCTGAAAATGAACTTTTGTCTGCAGTTTTATTCGTTCTTTTTTATTTTTAACAATAATTTTGTGTCAGTCCTTGTGATGGTCAAACATTCTCTTTTAAGTTGTTATTTAAGGGAACAGCTGGATGGATTCATGCTGCTCTGAATTTCCTTGCTCATTTTGACAGTTTTATTGGTTTCTGGAAATGGGGATGTCTCTCCTAAGTGTGTGTGTTAATTAGGTCTTAGTGGGTGAGTGAGTATGACGTGTGTAAGCGTGTATATTACTACTGGTGGGTGTTATCATTTGGCTCATTTGGGTGTGAGTGAATATGATGTGTGTAAGTGTGTATATTAGTGTGGTTTTGTTTATAAGTGTGAGGCCTCAACACGTCCGTAAACATGTCTGTCTTGTGTGGGTGATAAATGCGGCTAGGCCCTGATTGATGGGGTTAAATATTAATACTATCTATATTTTTAAATTTGTGATTAAGCCCGTCTGGATAGTGCGTTTTTAAACGTAGTAGCCACTCACTTTCATGGAACTCTCTCTCTCTCTCTCTCTCTATATATATATATATATATATATATATATATATATATATATATGTATATGTATATATATATGAAGGAACTGAAGGAAATTACACATAGACTCACGGAAATTACCAATAAATCTGAAGCTCAACACCGAATTAAAATTATGAAAAAACTGAATACATTATACAAAGGTAATATCACTCTTCCTAACAAAACTGATAAATACATTAACCTTTCCAACTATGAACTAACTAAGCACCAAAAAGAATTACTTAACCTTGGACCTAACTGCCATATATACCGTAAGTACAATCGGCTTTTTAAAAAAATAGAAATTGAGACCCTATACCAAAACATCGTTAAACTCCAGGATGAACAACTAATAGAAACTACACCAGAATTTAAAGACTTACTTAAGGCCGAGGCACTGAAAGATCGACATGATAAAAGCAGGAACTCCTCAAAAATTCTTTCTAAACAACTGAAAATTGCCGCACAAGAACTACGTAACCACCCTGACATTATTGTAAAAAAAAAGCTGATAAGACCAACATTTTTGTCATCCTAAACAAATTGGATTACAACAAAAAAACTAGACCACATACTCCATGATCACATAAAGTTTAAAAAAAACTTAACAAGAACCCGACCAACCAACTAAAATCAAAGCTTAATAAACTTATTAATGCTAATAATGCTGAACAGAACTCTTTAAAACTCCCTAAAATTGTTGGTGATTATAGACCTGGCTACATATATGGCACTATAAAAACACATAAACCTAACTATCCTCTCCGTCCTATCATATCGCAAATTCCAACTCCTGTATATCATCTAACAAAATACATCAACCAACTTATTACTCCCTATCTTCCTAGTAAATATAGCGTTAAGTCAACATTAGAAGTAATCCAAATCCTAAAAAGTGAAAAACCTGACAATGAAATCATGGCTTCACTTGATGTTGAAAACTTACTTACCAATGTCCCTGTTAGTGAAACTATTGACATAATCATAAGAAATATATACAGTAACTCATCTTTACCCCCACTAAAATTAATCCTAATATATTAAGAAAACTACTATTAACTTGTACTACTGAAGTCCCTTTCTTCGATCATAATAACAATATATATATACAACGTGATGGTGTCTCCATGGGTTCAGTATTGGGCCCGACATTTAGCAATTTCTACATGTCGAACCTCGAAAATAAGTTATTTACAGATTTTAAAAAACCATAATCTACCTAAGATAGGTTGATGATATTCTTATGTTAGTTAAAAATACAGATGAAATAATTCAACTTCAAAAAAGGTTCAAAAATAATTCTGTCCTTAAATTCACATATGAACTCAATACTAATAATAAAATCCCTTCCTTGACATATTGATAAACACAAATAATAACAAATTTACTATTTCGCCATACAAAAACCTACAAGCATAAATTCATGTACACTTAACTACAAGAGCGAATGCCCATATTACAAAAATAGCAATTATAAAGAATCTAATACATCGTGCAGAAACTAATTCATCCACCAAACAGATTTTTTACAGTGAACTAAAGAATATAAAACAGACACTTATTAATAATAGCTTTCCAAACTATATAGTTGATGAACAAATAAGATGCTTTCTTAGAAATCTCAATAATAAGCAAATTGTACATAATACTGCTTCTACTGATCTCAAATATATTAATCTCCTATATCGTAATCAAAATGCATACTAATTATAAACAAGATGAACACATACTAAAAAATTTAGTAAATTCTAATATATCAGCTACAGATCCTAGCAAAAAATTAAATTAATCATATACTACACTAAATCTAGTATATCCAACTTAATACTTCGCAATGATTCTTCTCCCCCGGTTAGCGATTTGCAAAAAAACCAACATAGTTTATAAATTCAAGTGCCCTTTGGGAGAAAGTGTATCTCCAACGAATTAAATAATATTTATGTTGGTCACACCACAAACTCGCTTTCACGACGCTTGACACTACATTTTAATGAAAACTCTAACATTTTTAGGCATTTAAAACAACATGCCTGCCCGCACACAATTCCGTAAAATACTTGTCGAAAACACAACTATACTTCGACATGAAAACAATAGACAAAAACTAAAAATACTTGAAGCATTATACATCAAACAGTTAAAACCCAACCTAAACAAAATCAACTATGGAATCTCTACAAATATTCTTAAATGTCTATAATTTCTATAATTGGTAACAGAAGCCATTGGTTTATACCAACGGCTTTCCTTATTTCATTCTACAATTCACTCTCGTGTAGTCATGTGTGACGTCATGAGATGCGGTGCGATTTTCGCTTCTAGCGTCTTATATGCGCGTGTTCATCGTTGCTTAGTGATCCACTATGTAAACTAAACAATGACAGACTATCATCACTGCCGTTATTGTTTGATATATTTGTAATTACATCTTTGATAATGGCTTGAGTAAGCCGAAAGCTTAGATTACATTAAAAAATAATGGATAAATATTGTGAATTTCTTTTTTCGGTTAATGATAATGTTATCAAACTTATCAGAAGATACGAAAAAAATTTTACATAAAATAAATAGACAACACTTGTCTATATTATTTAATGAAACGTGTATAAATGAAAATATGCTGCCTAAATACACAATTTAAATATATATATATATATATATATATATATATATATATATATATATATAGATAGATAGATAGATAGAGTCTCATCCACAGACAGACAGTTTCGCTGTATTACAGCACTCCAGTGAGGCTAGACATGGGATTGCTCAAGCAACGGATATATATATATATATATATATATATATATATATATATATATATATATACATTCGTGTGTGTGTATGTGTTTGTATATATATATATATATATATATATATATATATATATATAGAGAGAGAGAGAGAGAGAGAGAAGAAAAGAAAGAAAAAGACCGGTAAGCTATATATGCAATGATGTAGTATTTCCTTTACTTATGTACATAACATTTTTATTTGTAATTGTACACATCTATCTATACTTACACATGCACACACATATTTATATATACATATATATATGTGTGTGTGTGTGTGTGTGTTTGTGTGTGTATGTACGTGCATGTGTAAGTATAGATAGATATGTACAATTAAAAATAAAAATTATATGTGTACATAAGTAAGGGAA